CCCCGCGCTCCCGGAGCCCGCCCGTCGCCCCCGCCCCGGCCCCGCGGGGCAGCCGCCCCTCCGTCCGTCCCGGCCCGGGCTCCGCGGGGATCCGGCGCCAGGCCCGCGCCTCTCCCGGGAATACGGCAGCGGCGATCCCGGGAATACGGCAACGCCGCCCCCGGCGGCCGCCCTTACCTGCGCTGGGCTCACATCGCGGGGCCGGGGCCAGCGGTGACCCCCCCCGGCGCCCCTCGGCCGCCGCCTCGCCGCCGCCCTGCGCGGGGCCGCAGGTATGTCATGAGTGCCGAGCGCGGCTCCAGGTGAGCCGGGCACACCTACAGGAAGGCAGGCGGGCCGCCCTGATTGGCGTGCGGGGCCGGCGGCCGCGCTCCGACGGCACCGCGGCGGGGCAGGGCAGGGCAGGGCGGCCGAGGGGCCGCGGCGGACACGGCGGCTCTGGCCGCGCTCCTGCTCCTGGCCCCGGCCGGCCACAGGCCCTGACACGTCCGAGCGGAAGGTATTTTCCTTTTTTTTTTTTTCTTTTTTTTTTTTTTTTTTTTTTTAATTCAGTAGTAAGAATATGGGTGAAGGTCCTGGAGGGAAAGGCGTACGGCGAGCGGCTGAAGTCGCTCGGTTTGCTCAGCCTGGAGCGGACTGAGGGCAGAGCTCACAGCAGCTCTGCAGCATCCTCGCAAGGAGGAGGAGCTGGCCCTGATCTCTGCTCTGTGTGACCAGGGACAGGACCCAGGGAACAGCTGGAACTGCGTCAGGGGAGGGTTAGGGTGGATTTTAGGAAATGTTCTTCACCCAGAGGGTGGTTGGGAACTGAACAGGCTCCTCCAGGCAGTGGTCACAGAACCCAGCCTGACAGAGCTCCAGGAGCATTTGGACAATGCTCTTGAGCACGGGGTGGGATTGTTGGGGTGTCTGGTGCAGGGCCAGGCATTGGGCTGGATGATCCTTGTTGGTCTTTTTCAGTTTCAGACTTCCTGTGATTCTGCAATAACTGTGTCCCTCTCAGGTTTGGACACAGCACTTGTTTGCTTTGCCCCTGGAGTGCAGCTGACCCACCAGCCTAGGTCTCTGGACCAGCTTAAGACTCAGAAATGCTTTTTATTTTTAACCTTCCTTTATTATAAAAGTCTCTTGTTTTCCCACTCCTTAACTTCACATGTATGAGCCCTTTGTGCTTCCTCCCAGCAGGCAGCTGGGTGTTCAAGGAAAAGTGTTGGCTTTACGGGATTACAGGATCCCAGGCAGGATTACATCCAAGATCATCAAATAAATGTAAATTAATGAAACACCTGAATTCAGAAGAAATTGACCATGCCATTGGTTGAAAAACTCTGTAGGCCGCATTAAGAAGCTGAGTCCACAGATACAGTTCCTGGGCTTTCTGTCTCTTGTAGGTATACAGGTGCTTAAAGGGATACAGGATTTATGTGAGGATGCACTTTGCCATGGTGTATTCCATAGGGCTTTGCTCACCAAACTCACAAAGTGTGCAAAGAATTATCTTAGACAGGTGGCTGAGGAAGGCATCACCTATATTATATATTCCATCTCTTCAAATTGACATCCAGAGTTGTCTCCTTGCTAAGTCTGCTTTTTTCTCCTAATAATTTCTTGAGGCTTACAGGTGTGTATCCTCCAGGATGTGCTCTGAAGATTTCAATAGAAAGAAGAAGCTTGACTCAACCACCAGAGAAGCCCTGCAGCCCACACCTAGGCAATCCTGAACCCTCCCTTGCCTGTGAGACCTGTGTGGAGTCTCCCAGGCAGGAAAACTCCCCTCAGAAGTGGCACACTGAGAACTCTCCCCAGCCAGCCACAGAATCATCCTCTGCCTGCTCCTGCCTTCTGATTCCTCCTTTCATTCATTTGTGTGGGTGCCTTTTTTCAGCAGAGTGGATCAGCTCCTGCAGCTGAGATTCCCATTCCACATCACTGCATTTACAGTCAGATGGAAGGAAAGGGATGCTTCAAATTCCCAGGAGCTGACTCTGGATCATGTCTCTCTTGGTTTGGTGTCAGACCTCTGGGAGATTATATAAATAGCTAGTGCATCTTCCCACTGCATTTTCTAAGTTCCTAGGAACTGGCAGCAAGTTGGAGTTGGTCATCCTGACTGGAAAACTGCTTCTCTTCTACCCAGAAAAGGCCAACTTACTGTCTGAGGTGGGCTTTCCCCTGTCCTTGGCACCTCCAGCAGCTGCAGAGGCAGTTTTCTGTTTGATTTTGGTCATCATGTCTTGAGGTACCTTGCTTTCTCTGCCTGCTGCACAGAGTTTGAGTGCCTGAACACATCTGGAACCCAGCAGAGTGTGAGCAGGAGAGGGCTTGTCCCATGCTGTGAGTATCCCATGTGGATTGGGCTGCGCTGTCTCTTAGCCCACAAAACTGGGCTGCAGCAGTTGAGTATGCCCCTTTCCCTTCAAGGACATACCTCCTTGGTGTGTATACACATACATATATATATGTATCCCTGGTATGTCCCTTCTCTGCAAAGAGGCCCAGCAGCACCAAGAGCAGGGCCCTGTACCCTGAAGTGCTCCTGCTTCCTGCAGTGCCTGGTGTTATGTTGGGCTGAGGGGCAGTTGGGACATTAACCTCCCACTCCGACATCCTCCTCGTAAACATCCTGTCCCGCTCAAGTCCTGTGCTGTCACATCCTCTCTGCTTTGCCCAGACACTATTCTGGGTTTAGTTCTACATGCAGAGCACACAGCGGGGCATTCCAAAATCCAGGCAGGCAGCAGGACAGAACAGTAACTTTGTTCAGCTGCTGACATGCTACAAGTACTGCAGAGGAGGAGAGTTGTTTAAACGTCTTCTTAAAACTAAAATCATCTGCTTGAGCCCTCCTTGGAAAGCCAGTTTGCTCCCCTAGGTATGTTCAGCAGCTGTACCTTACTCCAAGCAGATGCAAACCTGTGCATATGGCATGAAAAACCTTGGTAATAATGGAAGGGAGCAGAACAGAGATCTTGGAAACTGCAGCACAGTAAGTTTACACAAGCAGCAAGTAAAACACCCATCCCCGGTGAGTCAGTCCTGGCCGTTTCCTTCATTTCCTCCAAGGCTCGCTATGAACATCCAGTGGTACCAGCCCTTCTGAAATCCAGTCATCCCCTTTCCTGCCTCTTGTTTACGGCCTCCAGCACTGCATTTTCACTGCAGCAGACTGAGAGAAGTGCAGATTCTCCCCTGGCCTCAGCTCAGCTTTGGTAGCACAGTGCTCTGTCTGCTTTTGTGGGTGCCAGCACCTTCTTGAGCTACAGCAGGTGCTGAATTAAGAGAGGAAAAAGTGTCACAGTTACACAATAGGGTTTTTTAAAAAAAAATCTTGAATGCAGCTATATCATTGACAAAGGTTCTTTATCCCTACAGCCATACCTTTGGATTCAGCCTGGTAGGGTAGAAAGAAGCACTGGGGTGTTAGGTTGTTTTAAGTGTGTATTACATCCCTGCGATATGGGTTGGATCTTCCCTGCTTCAGATTGAGATGTATCTCGTGCTCTGATTTCCCCACATGACAGCAGCTAGGGAGGAGGACTATTTTTAGCTTTTGTTTATTGGTTTGTTTACAGGAAATTCTTCATTTGTGGGAGTGAGCTTGGGTCTGTGTTAGTCTGAGAATCCGCTTCAGTGCCAGTTGTGGATGTATTTACAAGGGTGAACTGCTGCTGTTGTCTGGGAAGAGGAATCATTTATCCCAGGTGTTCAAGAAACTATGGGCTTTACACAGACAAATACTGATTTCTGGGATGTTTCCTGAAATTTTTTCAAGGAGATGTCCAGGCAGCTCTGACAGAAAAGTTTAGGAAAATACAGAACTAGGAAATTCTCTTGGGTGATATGGATAGAAATGCTTTTCTGTGTGAAACTAATTATAAATCTACATTGCTGCCATAACCTGGGTTAATAACAATAGCTCTGAGACAAAACCCATATTGTCAAAGAACATGAACATCCAAAGACAAGAACAGACCAAAATGGGCTTCCCCCATTTCCTTCTCAAGTGTTCTCTCCTGGGAATTCTGAATAGCCTGCAGCCAACAAGTGACCTAGATACAATGCTGTGTCTGCTCTTATGGAGTAAAACCAGGAGCAAAATAATCCACCAAAATTATATTCAACTTCACCCAGATTTGGATTTTGTTGGTTTTTGGTTTTTTGGGGTTTTTTTTTTTGTTTTGTTTTTTTGTGGGGTTTTTTTGTGTGTGGGGTTTTTTTTGGAGTTTTTTTTTGTTTGTTTTTTGGGGGTTTTTTTGTTTGTTTGTTTGGTTTTGGTTTTGGGTTTTTTTTTCCATGCAAAAAGCAGTAAGAATTGTTTGTACAAATGGATACCTGCAGATGAACCACAAAGGCATAGTTTTTAGTCATGATGAATTTTGTACCAGTTACAGGGAAGGTGTACATTGGATAGATTACGTGTGAATGGCCTGTTTCATATGTTGTACAAATTTTTTCCAAAGTAATTGCAGTGCCTGGGCTGATGTGCATGTCAGGCCATTGTCCTACAAAGCTAAATTCCCCTTTTTTAACAGGGTCAGCTAGGAAAATTTAAACAAATGTATGGTTCCCGGGGGGCAGAAGCCCAGCGGGGAACAGGTTGTCCAGGATAGCTCACTGAGGGCCAGGATCGCCCAGCGGGGGGGGCTCAGGCACCCAGGCAAGCTATAGTGATTTGCAGCTCAGCTCTTTAGTGATTTCAGCTCTTTCAGCATGCCTGGGGCCGTCACCCTTGGGTATCGCCGCGGCGGCAGACGCAGAGAGAGAGAGAGCAGCGCTGTGTGGGTTCCGCAGGGTTTATTGGGGTCTCCGCGAAGGTTCCATCGACAGCTCTTCTCTGCCGAACCGGGCAGAGTGTGGGTTTTTATACCTTACAGGGGGATTGAAAACTGTCCAATAGTAAGGGTCAGGGGAAAAGTGACCTATGGATATACAGGGAGATAACAGGGTCCCAAAGGCGGAAGAGAGGGGCTTCTAAAACCTTAGTCATGCTGACTTTGGTATTTCCTAGCTCTCAGGCTTCTGCTCTCCAAGGACTTGCAGGCCCTGTGCCTGCTACACAAATGGACAAGGCTGCAGACTGTCTTTAGACAAAGGGTACTCTTAGGGGCATGAGAGTAAGGAATGGTCTGGAGAGTCCCTGCCTGTCAGCCATGAAAGGTGATAAAAGGATGTTTTTATTTGCACACATCCTGTAGCCTGACATTGCCCAACAGTTCACTTGATTATAAGCTCCTGCCTGTTCTAAAAGGGATGAGGTGGTTCTGAACTTGTGGATGTTGGCCTGGGGGAGGCTGATGGGCCTTCCCAGCTCAGTTTACAGCTGCAGTCCAGACTGATATCAAAGAAATTGACTGCTCATGCCATAGCTTCAGAACGGTGTGGGCTGCACACATGCAAATGTTGGTTTTGTTGACCTTCCCTGATTTGGATGGAATTGAGGGTAGGGATGGCCAGTCTCAAACAGCAAAAGTAGGCAAGATCGCCTCAGATGTTACTTCATTCTTGCCAAGGATGTAAAAAACATCAGCTGGGCAGAAGGGAAGACAAAGTACCACTCAAAGCATAGCTACAAACTGAAGAAAGAAATCCCCACAATCTTGCTCAAAATCTCACATGAACAACTGCAGCAAAACATGACTCAAAACTTCACATCTGTTTGCTTATGTACTATTTTTCAAAAGACAGAAGGAAATAGCTTAAAAGTTAGTCCAATTCCATTAAAATCCTTTTATTTGGGATTAATAAAATACGGATTCCTTTCACAAGCAAGAAGCTCCTTTGAATAAATATTGGGGGGAAAAAAGGAGCTATGCTAAAGGGGTTGTAATCTCTGAAGCAGTTACCAGCCTTTAGGGATACATACTGTGGTTAAAACAACCTGTTTCCTGCTCACCAGTAGCATTTGGCAACTCATTAATGGAATTCTCAGTGGGACAGTAGTAAGCTCTTACATATTTAGAAGGATTTCCCTCAGCCAAACTTGCAAAAATTGCATTTGATATATGTAATGCAGTATAACATCACATTCTTTTCTTCCTGTCGAATATATGGCTTTTGAAGCCCTGTTCCCACCTGATTATTATACAGAGATTTATATGGAAGTATCCAGGTAAATAACACAAACTTGAATTTAAAGGGTTTTTTTTTGAAAATACATAGTGCAGGGAAAGGGTAGTTTATGAGCAAGAACATTAATGAGGGTATTTTTAGTACTTTACACTGAATGTCAGCAGTGTATTTTACTGAACAAAATTATTGCAGTAATTTCTGGCCTGGAGTCCACACATATCAGGAGATCCATGGCCTACCTGAGGAAGATTCACAAAAGATACCCAGGAAACACAAGGCAATACCTGTAAACAAGGATCCAAAAAAATAAAAGCAGGTTGAAAAACCCCAGTGCTTCATACTATTGAGATGCCTCCAAAAGGGCAGAAAGACATTGTGGAGAAAAAAAATATGTACTGGGGGAATGAGTAGTCAGACAAAGAGGAAGACAGGAAAACTTTTAGTGGGCTTTGACTTTTCCCCATCATCCAAAGTTTTAATTTTTGGTAATCACAACATTGATATATCCAGAAATACCACACACAGATTTTGGGAAATCTTAATGAGAACTGGTTATGCAAACATTTCCAAACAGCCGTTCCTTTACAGCAGTCAATATAGGCAATTCCAAGTTCAGTTACAATTTTAAGGAAATCTTTGGATTTACCTTTTTACTTCCCTGAGATGCTCCATGCAAAGGATACCCCAAGCTGCTTGTTCCTGGGAGGTGCCTTTCCCAGACTAAAATCCCCAGTTGCAGCTCCCAGGGAGCCTTTGGGAGGCAGCCCTTGGTTTCTTGCGGTGCTTTCCATTTCTGTGTTGTGGGATTCTGAACTCCACAAAAAGCTGGATTTTTCCCTAAATCCTTCTGTGATTCTTCTGTTGCAGCTAAATCCTTGTGCAAATCTGAAGCCGAGCCCTCATGCTGCAGTAAATTGTTGCCCAGCCCATGATACCTTTCACATCCCTGTGCAGGTAATTGCTGAAGTGGGGTCTCAGCCTTACCTGCACCTCACACACTGATGTTTCCTTTCCTTCCTTAGCTGTGAGAAAAAGCCTAAATAGAGAGGATCCAGGATAATGAGCATTGTCTGCTTTTCCCCTTTGAGAAGTCCTGGAGAACATTACTGGGACTCTCAAAATACTTCTACTCCATTTGGAAATGCTAAAGCAAGAACTTAATCAGTCTTCCTCTGTACTTTTATATATGGGTGTTGATGGCAATTACTTCAGTTGGGCTGGGGGCTGACACTCAGGGGCTTCTGTAGAAATGATTCTGAACAAACCAACCCACTCATTACCAGAACATCTAGAACACTTCATTTTGCTTCTCTGTTTCTTTCACATTCAGGTAGGCCACTTACCCTGTGGTCATTTCTTCAGGCTTTCTGCTCCAGCTATGAACTCTAGAAATAAATTACTGTAAGGGAAAGGCAGAATATGGACAAAGTCACACTACTGCAGGTACTCTTATTCTAGTCCAGACATGCTAAAATAGTTGGGACCTCTACAAAACTAAGCATGGAGAGCAGAAATGAAAGCAGCATTTTGCCTTCAAGGGGCTTGCCAAAAAGAGAGATGTGGCTGTGTAGGAGCTGCACGTGTGCAGGCTTTTCCCTATGCAGGCAGCTGCAGCACCTGAGTGAGTGCAGCCAGGGGGGAGGATGACACTGAGCAGCTTTGCCCCATGCTCAGAACAGCTGCCTCTGCCCTAACCCCATCCTGCCCATCCCTCTGCTCTCAGAAACCATGGTGCGAGGAAGTCGCTTCTTCCTAGCTGAGGTCCTCATATGATCATGTCCATTTCAGTGTTGTTGCTTGTGGTGTCGGTCAGTAGCAATGACTCAGGCCAGCCCTTCCCTTCCTCTTGTTGGCTAGACACAAAATCCAGCCCACAAATTACTCGGTCCCATTTGCTAATAAAGAGGATCCCCTGCTCATTAAAAAAATGCACACAGAAGCAATTAGTTTGTTTTAAGGTCCCTTTCAGTAACTGTGAAATCAAGCCCTTAAAAGTTCAGAAATCCCAAATTCTCCCTGCATTCCAGATTTGTGTTTGGGATTTTTTGTTCTGGTTCTCTTGGTGGACAGAATTACACATCGTAGTGTAGCTTTTAACAGGATAAACACAGTAATTCTTTTTGCAGAGGAGGATAAACAAAGCTGAAATGTGCTTCCCTCTCTGTTCAGTGTCTTTGTACAAGTCCTGGAGGTGGAGATCTCCAAGCCTGGATGTGTGATAGTGGAGTGCCCCCTCATGGGAAGCTGTTCCTGATGCTGATTCCTGGCTGCATCCAGGTGAGAGAACGTGAGCCCAAACACCATTCTGTTTGTTGCGCCCGCTCCTCTATATTGGTTGTCACACCAGCAGGTTTAGAGAGCAACTTCCCTTTTTCTCCCTCAGGTAGTTTTTGTTTTGGGCACTGGCTTAAGGCTTTTTGTCAGAATGTTGAAGAAACATCCACCATTTTATTGTAGTTTCACCTTATTTAAAAAATAAAATCTCTGGGATTTTAGCCACCCATGGTGGCTTTCCTGGAGGCCCTAAACTTACATAACATGAGTCCTGTAATTAGATAACAAATCTCATAATAGAAAAATGAGCACATATTCCTGAATCACCTCCATGATGTTGGCCTGTTGTATACTGAGAGAGGATTCCCTGTGCCCCTCACTCCCCTCAGTTCTCAGAAAAGTAACCTTTCCATAGGAGGGATTATAATGATGGATGTGAGCTTGCACAAAAATACAATCTTGCTCATAGGGTGGGGAGGCATTGTTTGGAGTTCTGATGCTGTTGTTGGAAGGGCAGACTGAAGCAGGATTGTTTCCTATGAGCAAAGGCACGTTTTTAATGAATTGAGCTTTTGTCCTTAAAACACAAAAAGAGCCTTTTTTGTGATTCACACTGTGTGATATTTTTCGTTTTCTTTGCATTTAGTTAAGAACAGCACAAGAATAATCCTACAAATAAAACATAAAAGCAGAATGACCCTATAAAAAGAGTGGGGTTTCTACTTCAGCAAAAAACTTGCTGCATTACTGTGGAGGCTCAGGGTGTAAAGTGGCTGTGGTAGAGGCCACATTCTTGTCCTGTGGTCAACATGAATTGTCACAGACTCTTTCTCTTCTGACATTTTCACACCTCCTGAGACACAAGATTTGAAGTCCCCAAGGAATCAGAGAATAAAGAAACAAAGACCAAAAGGTTATTTAAAAGGTACCATAAGTAGATGGTAGACCTTCCATTCCTAGGACCTCCCCCTCTCTTGTTAGTGATTCTCAAAAAAACCATATGAGGCCCATCACCTTAGTAGGGTGCTCACATCCAACCCCTGCTACCTCTGTGTCCTGGAGCATTGTCACATTGTTCTCTGTGATTTGGGGGTTGTGCCTCATACTCCCTGCAGGATTCCCCACAGTGGCTTGAATATCTGTGCCTTTATCCAGCCTCTGGTGCTGGAATGCCTTCCTGGGAGATCTCACAGTGTGCACATTTCTTTCAGGGGCTTGTTTCCTGCTGAGGTGCTTTCACTGATGCTGAGTGAGGACGGGGTGAATCCTCGTTCCAGCTCTTCTCACTGGGAATAAACAGATCAGGCTTTTCTCCGGGGTCAGCCAGCTGATTCTGAGTCAGGTCAGAATTCCCATCAAAACCCTTTCCACATATATGCCCTACAGGAATCTGCCTAGATTGTTTTGGCTTAGATACCCATTCATCAACTGAAAAGAATCCTAATTCTATGTCCTTTAGGTACTCCATTACAATAAGATGTCCTGGTGACCGTAACTACTCCTGATGGACTGGGAAGGTCAGAATGCCTCTCTGTCTTGGGAGTATTCTCTGCAGTGCATCCCAAAAGAACCATATGGTCTGGGTTTTCTTGCAGTGCCTTATGCAGTATCTTATGGCCCTATATCACCAAATGGTGGAGAGATGACTTTGTGATCTTGCTGTGAGACTGGCCCAGGCCACAGACATTTCAACAGGAGTAAAAGTGCTCCGCAGAATATAAAGTGGCTGCTGCTTCTCTACATGGGAGCAGGATATAACAAAGTGAAAGGTTGGTTGCAGGAAGGAGGTGCCATGGGACAGAAATAGCACTGAAAGGTCTTGGCAGTATTTACCTGCTCAACAACTGCAGGTTTCTTTGAGAGGAAAGATCAAAGTTTTCTATCCAAATAGTGTTTTGAATTTGAATGCCTGCATTGAAATCAGGATTTGTAAATCTATAGTAGCTTTGTTATCCAAATGCAAAACTTTTTACTCATCACCCATATGTTTAATGATCCATGTGACATGCATGGGTGGTTTTTAGTTTATTTTTGAAAAGGGTAGATGGATTTTTGCTTTCCAAAGGCTACCTTGGGGAATAGCTCTTGGCAGTCCATCCTCTACTGAGAGAGCATGTTGATGTCTGGTTAACTTCTGGTGCAGGGGGTTTCACAACCTCCCAGATAATATTTTCCATCTCTGGCTTACACAGAGAAAGTTTTTGCAACATCTACTCTTGCTCTTTTCTCTTGTCTTCTTTCCTGGAAATTAAGTTGGTTAGATCTTATCTCTGTCCTTCCAGCAGTGTAATCACTGCCTCCCTTAACAGCAACCTCTCGTGTACTGCAACTGCACTGTCATGTCTTGCCCTATTTCCAGCCTTCTCCTCTAGACTCAATAAACCCAGTTGCCTGCTTTCTTCCCAAAGGTTGTTTTGCAAATCTCTTATCGCTGCAGATGTGTTCCCACACCCAGCCCGCAGCAGCCTGGCTGTTTGCTGTTGCCTGTCCTGTGCCAGTGATGGCTTTTGCTTCTCCCCGGCCGTGTTCTGCTGCACCCCCTTCCCTGTTCCCAGTGGCTTCCCGCGGTGGGGCTGGCCAGGATTCCTGAGTGGGTGTAGGGGCCCTGCTGGGCCAGGTGCTGGGAGCAGGTGCCAGGCCCCCAAGCCCTGCCGAGCACAGGAACCGGTACGTGCAGCTCGCTCCTTGCGCATCCCAGTCCTGCCAGGAAACCAGAGTCCCTGTGGGGCTTCGGGGCTTTGTCCTCAATTCCCAGGTTTGGGAATGTCACCAGCTCTCTCCTCAGAGGCTCCCAGATTACAGCATCAGAGAATGGTTTGGGTTGGAAGGGGCATTAAAGGCTCATCTCATTCCAACCTCCTGCCATGGACGCCTTCCACTATGCCAGGTTGCTCAGAGCCCCATCCAACCTGGCTTTGAACAGTTCCAGAGATGGGGCAGCCACAGCTTCTGCGCCAGGGCCTCACCCCCCTCACAGCCAAGCATTTCTTCCTCATACTTAATCTAAACCTACCCTCTGTCAGTGTGAAGCCATTCCCCTTCATCCTGTCACTGCAGGCCCTTGTCAACTGTCTCCATCTTGCTTCCTCTGCATATTGAAAGGCCACATAAGGTCTCCCTGGAGCCTTCTCCAGGCTGAACAACCCCAACTCTAGGCCTGTCCTCATAGGAGAAGTTAATTAATTTCTGATTGATTTTTGGTAATCTGCTTTAGAGACTCTCCTAGGGGGAAGAGGTTCCCATCTTCTAAGGAGTGTGAGCATTTCAGGAGCTCCTGAGGAGGAAGGGCTGCCAAAGAATAGGTGTAAATCATCTCCTTCATTTTAGGAGCACCAGCTTCCAGGATCAGTTGGAGTTATGTAGCCTCCTTGTATCACCTATTCAGGGAAATCATGGTCACATGCAGTGTTATGACACCAAATCTTTCCAGTCTAAAGAGCACAAACAGTATCTAGAGAGCTAGTTATTACCAATAGTCTAATTTATTCTAAAATGGACACATTCTGCTGTCATCTATTTCACTCTCTTCCCAGCACCCTTCTCCCCCAGATTATCCTTATATCATTTCCATGTTCCCAACAGATTCAGTGACCCCAAAGCAGGTATTTTATCCCTACTGCCTGGACAAGATACCACTTAAAACGCCTAAGACCATGGACAAGGCAGGTTCTCCCTGCTGATCCTCCCATGGGGATGTCAGTAAGAATTCTCTGCTGCACCTGGCCACTGATCTCTGGCTATAGGAACATTGATCCCTGGATATAGGAACCTGCTCATCTCTGATTCCTCTACATGCTTGTATTGGATTGAAATAAGACAGTTGGTTCCTAATGGGCAGCTGACAGTGGGATAAAAAAAAGCTGTATTTCCTTCAAAAACTAGAGGAAAAAACCATCCCCAAGCCTGTCAAAACTACACCATGAAATTAATCCCCAAATCTGAAAATATGTATTAAAATCAAAGAGAGCTTCTGAACTGTCTTTGATTTTGAAAATTCTTGGGAGAAATGGACAGTTAGGTAGTGATTCATCTGACCTGTTTTATGTGTCTACCTTAGGAAGAGGTGAATCATGCCCTAGAAAGGCTGCTTCAGTATTTAAAAAATGGGCTTTCCTTATTTTGTTTGATGATCTATTCTCAGTTTGTTATTACTGATAATATTTTACCATTTTTTTAATACTCAGTTAATCTTTGCTCAGGACAAGGATAGGCTGATAATATATCTTTCTCTGAGAACTGTGATTTCAAAAAATCAGCAGTTTCACTCCTGTGATTTTGCAGTTTGTCTTCTGAAAGGGATGTGTGGAATAGAAACAGTGAAGTCGTAAGAGCAGAGAAGACAGAAGCCCAAAGGGGAAAAAGGTGAGCAAGTCAGAATCTGAAACAACACAGTCAGGAAACGCAGATTAGGTGGTTTCTCTAAAAAGCTTGTTGGTTCAGTTAGAGGAAAAGGAAATTTGTATATGTATAGCTGTAGTTTTGCTAACTGTATATGAAAAAGGCAGATTAATTTATTGCACACACTATCCAATGTTGTTATATTAGATATTATACAATACCAGCATATACTGTTAGAGAATTTATATATGTGTGTGTGTGTACTGTGTGCAGATACTATGTGCAGAGCAGCTTTACAGAAAAGGGCCTGTGTGTGGAAAGTGGTGGAATAATTAACTCTTTTCTTACATCCAGTGATCCAGGTTTTTAAAGTTGCTGAGACAAATCCAATCCTTCAATATAGCTAAGAAACACAGATGGGACCTCACTTAAGGGATGGTCCACAAATGTAAAGATTGACTCAGTGAGATGTAGACTTGAGCTTTAATTCATGTTCCTGTGGTTGTCTCCCAGCCCTAGGCCAGGTTTAAAGGTTCTTCATCACAGATATTTTATTCTCTCTGTTGTATTTGCTTTCCCCTCCCTGTGAGCCTTTGTCAAGAGCAACTAATGAGCTGCATTGTGTCCTTTTTCATGTATAGGCTCTTAGGAGAGCTGTATTTTAAAGTAGAAATGTGTTCATAAACTTTATGTATGAAAAGGGTGATAGACTGAGAGATAAAAGTAATTTCATTGGGCAGAAGTTACTTTACAGTAGATGAACACACTGTTATTCAAAGTAAACAGCATCCAAGCTATTCATGGAATGGCATTTGTCTTCAGTAAACATTTTACATAATACATGCAAGTTATTCATGGAATGGCATTCTTTTTTCATAGAAGTTTTATGTAATGCTGGCCACTTGGGACTCCCAGGAAGTAAAGATTTGATAACAACATGGTCTCTCATCTTATTTTCCATTATTTTGATCTGAGAGCTACAAAAGTAGTTGTAATGTGAGGGTTTCATTTTTTTTTTTTAATTCCAAACTCCCTGAACATTTCCAGTCAACTGCTGTACATGCAGGTGTACTAATAAACCTTTGCTTTCCTTTGTGACCTCTCACAGATCACTCACTATTTGTCCTAATGCCCTCCTCCAAAAAGTCAGCAGCTTGTAAATTGGGAATTTGCGATGTGTCTGTGATGACTTCAGTTTTGGGAGGTATGGGATGCTATTTTAAAGCATAACATAACTTCGTGGGGGCTTTCTTTGTTGCAGGTACTGATGACAAATTCCCCTGCAAGCTCAGACATCAATCCGTGGAAGAGCGAGTGTCAGGAGCCTGGTTATGGAGCCATGGGGCCATTTATGGACAGCCTTTGCTGGAGGTGGGTGTAGGCCACCGCAAACTTCAGCCAGGAGGAGCAGGAGATACTTCGCCTACTGAGTCATGGCACTAAATGTGCTTTTTAAAATTATTAACAGTGAAATTCAGTGGAAGAATGAGTCAGGTCATTGGTATTTAGTCTGAACCAGAGTTGTGAAACTTCAGGTGACTGTGCAGGAGGGAGGTTACCATGATGATGTGCATCATTCATGGAAAACACATGCTTACACCTTTCCTTGTGTTTCTTCTTGCTTATGTAAAAATCCTGTAGGTATAATCACCTGAAAGATTGAAAAGCTTTTAAAAATTTCCTACAATAAATTGCTGCTTGTCATCCCTGGATGCAATTCTGAGATAAAAAAAAAGCATCAGTATTTGCTGATTTACATAGAATTTCCTAGGACAACCCCAAAATAAGTGGTGGCTTTATCCACATTTTCAGAGTGCTGCTGCAATCATGATCATCATAAAAAAAGGAAAACACACAAATGGACCATGCAAAGTAAGATGGTTTGTGGTTTGACTTAATGACCTTAAAAGTGCTTTCCAACCTAAAAGATTCTGAGTAGTTTTGTTTGACCTCATTGCAGCCTTCCAGCATCTGAAGGGAGCCTGCAGAAAACATGGAGAGAGACTATTTACAAGGGCCTGGAGTGACATGACAAGGGGCAATGGCTTCACACTGACCAAGAGGAGTTTAGGTTGGATATGAGGAAGAAATTCTTCCCTGTGAGGGTGGTGAGGCCCTGGCACAGGTTGCCCAGAGAAGCTGTGGCTACCCCATCTCTGGAACTGTTCAAGGCCAGGTTGGATGGGGCTTGGAGCAGCCTGGGATAGTGGAAGGTGATAGGGAGGTTGGAACCAGATGATCTTTAAAGGTTCCTTCCAACCTAAACCATTCTATTCCATGAATCCTTTCTGTACTTCTGCCTTTGGATGGTACTAAGTCTTGATGGAACAACATCTCCACAATTCCCTGCCCACAGCAGCAGTTGGTCAGGCACCAAGGAGCATGTCATATACGTCAGTAAGTGATTTTAATTGACTAAATAGATTTTTTTGCTTCTGAATAAATCTATAAATTTTTAACTATACTTTCCATCTTTGTGTCAGAATCACTGTCTGTTGGTAGTGGCCAGTATTTAGCATGTCTCTCAGGCATGGTTTTTGACCACTATAAACACATTTTGCACACTTCTGGATAGCTGTGTATTGCTCAGGAACTGATCCAGCTAAAAATAACCAAATTACTTTTCAGCCACTGAAATTTCAATCTGCATCCCCCTGCAGCTGCACACAGAGATGCACTGACACCACAAGCAGAGCTCAGAAGGAGTGACCACAAGTACACACGGAAGAGGAGATGAGGCTTTTGGAAGAAAAGAAAGTGGAAACAGAGCTCCAAGGGATGAGAAAAGTAGTACAAACCTGGCAGCTCCAGTCCTCAGAGGTACTTAGCAAGACATGAGCATCGATTCCAGCTGTGTGACATCCACTTGGAAAAGATACCAAATTGAACCTCCTCTGAGGATACTCCTCGTGTGCAAAAAAGGGCACATTTCTGTTTAATGCCTTTGTTCTGCTTTCTCTTAACTCCCTGCTGCTCCCCCCAGGTTCCTGTTTGATGGCATGGATTGCATGGTGGCATTACCAACTTGAGGAATCCTGAGATGTTCATTACCACCCACCCAAGACTGCAATTTTCCCTCACTTGTGCCAGCCTTGCTGTTTGTGGAGCTGTGCTGAGCACTGGATCAGGGAAGCAATCCAAATTAAAAATAACTCAGTAGTGTGGCTGGTGATGGCAAGAGTTTTAGCCATCCAGGATAATCTGCAGTCACAAATCAGCAAAAGCTGCTTGCCATTTCAGATGTCATGAAAGCCCAGCCTCAGAGATACCTATTTAATACAAGGAATATGAACCTTTCTGCCAGTGAAGGAGCCTGGGGAATGAGGAGGCAGGAATCCTTTGCCCATGTTCACAAGGGACACAAGAGCAAACCTCACTGTGTCCAGATGGCAGCACAAAACATTTTCACACAGGTTTTGCTTTAGCAGTCCTTCACATGATGCTTTTGGAACAAAAGTTAGTGGCAGTGTGTGCCATTCCACTGATGGATGTTCTTCATTCTGCGGATTAGGGAGAAAGCGACATGGATTTTTAAGTGTACTGCAAATACGGGGGCTGTGCCATCTCCAGGAAAATGAATAAAAGAGCCTTCTTCACAGACAGCTTCATGGTACAGAGTGAAGTAACAATTTGTGGATGCATTCCAGAAGAGGATGTATTCCTCTTCTCTGCTCTAGAGAAACAATGCCACTGCTGTGATGCACCAGCACTAACATTCATGATCATATCAGCAGTGGCTTTACTGTCACCTACTGACAGACTTGGAGGAAGCATTAGAATTAGTCATTCTCTCTTGTATTCCAAGCCATGTCTGGTTTTCTTTTGGCATCTCTTCAGTTCATGGTTCATGCCTCCTGGGTTGAGTATTTCTAAGTACCAGTCATTTCCTTTTTTTCCCCTCCTGCTTCTGACTTGGCACTTCACCTCTGCTCTCCCCAGGAACGTTCCTGCTGGGAGGTGACTGACTTGAGCACTGATGGCAAAGGTGGTGAATTCAGAGACTCAGAGCCTGAGGAGTTTCAGGATCTTCTCAGGTTACATTTCTAGAGAAAGGAACTCACTTTCTCTCCACATGCATTCATGGCTCTGGTCAAAACAAGGTGGAAGATGCAGGTGAAACCCACAATCACATTGGCAGCTGCATCCCAAATTAGCCAAAGGAAAGTGCCTGAAGCTTAGGGCAGGATGTGGCTGCCCTGAGGCAAACCCTGAGTGCTTTCACAGCAACCCCTCTTCTCAGGACAGCCCTGACCAGTAACATCAAGGCTGACCATGCCAGGGAACTTGGATTCAACGGTCCAGACCAAATAACATCATGTTTTACCATCTTCTTTCACCTCTCTAAAAGTATGAGGAGCTGTGTTCATTAATTCTTCCTTCTCTAGACACAGGAAAAATGCTCTGTTTCAGCCCCTTGATTCCTGCATTCCACTGCTGCTTCCCTTTTCCCAATAATTGTTAAAATACTTTTTTTTCAGTAAAGCATCTTGTGGTTCCTGTTTCACCCTGTGTTCACATAAAGGCTTGATCATATGTCCAAAGAATTGAGAAGATGCCTGAAATCCCTCTAATGTGTACTACATGTAAACTCTGTTTTTCCTGTTTTGTTTGGTATTTCTGCCTGAAGGCATCAGGAGAAATCCAAAGGTCATCTGTTAAAGAAATCAGGCAAGCAAAGAAAGCAATAGACCAGCAAAGAGGCACCTTCTTAAGCACAACAGCCAGGTGCAAAGCTGTGGGAAGAAACTTCCCAGTCCTTGTCTTGGAAAAGATCTGCTAAGGCTGGGAAAAGGGACATGGAAGGATACACACAGGCCTGTCAAAAGCTCTGCCATCTGTAAAAGCAGGGGCACATTTTGTGTGCTTGGAGGTGCTCTGGGGTAAGCAGGGCGAGGCTGCCCTTTTGTGAGGGGAGACACTGACAGAGCAGGGACAGACAGAGAGGCCTCCTCTGTGGTTCTGTGTTTGAAGATGGGAAAGCACAAACATCTCAGCCGCAGGCAGGCAGAGTTCAGCAGCATTGTGGGGAAGGTCAGCTGGAGGGAGAGACAGAGCAGAAAATGTCCCAAGACAACACATGAGCAGTAGGGCAATTGTAAGAGCTCTGGAAAGCAAAAAGAAACAAGTCCAGGTATGAGGGATCAGTGGGGGATCTGAAAAGTTGTGACCCTTCTTCCATGCAGCTATTATTACCTGCAAATTACATTTTCCCATCAGCGTGAGGAAGTTCAACCCTCCCCCAGTCTTCCTTCCTAGTTGTTCATCCAGTTTCAGCCCCTTCTGCTCTCCCTTCCCCTCACGTGGTGGCCTGGTTCAGCCATTCACCACTGCAATGGCAAAATGCTTTGGGACACCTTGACTTTGGGTCTGTTGCCTCTTCTGACCTCCCTTTGCTCAGTCTTCTGAAACTTCCTTTAGTTCCTTTTTTTTTCCAGAGAAGGGGCTCCTGCTGATGTGTCTCTGGCTATTCAGACCAGTGTTGCTGAAGTGAAGAAGAAACAGAGCCTGAAGTAAAAGTCTCCTGTGCATGCAGGGACACTTTTTGTGATACATCTCAAAAAATGTTTTAGAGAATAGGCATAAAATACTTCAAAAATTTACTGAACACACAAAAACACACCTCTTGTCCAAGACCACAAGAAATCTGTTTTTCCAGTCACAATGAAGCAGAGTGTAAAAAGCTGTATTTCAGTCATCACTATTACATGTATTTTTTAACTAGCAGCGGACTAGAAAACTGGATCCCATGCATCCCAAGTAGCACTGAGAAAACAACCTCCTCAGAACTAGGTGCTTCTACCAGCAGGATGGTGTGTCACTGCAGAGAAAAAAAGACAAACCACTTTCCCTTATAAAGGAAAGGTGAGCACTGAGTGCCCTCCTCTGGCTTTTCAGATTCTTTCAGAAATGTGAGAAAATTAAGCCAAATTCCAAGAATGTCCCTCAACTCCAGATTCTTGGGCTGAGAAACTGATGGAAACTCACTCTGGGGAGAAAGAAAAAGCAAGCAAGCAAGAAAAAGGAAAGGGAGGGAAGGGAATGATAAAAAGAAGGGGAGAGAGAGAGAGAGAGAGAGAGAGGGAGAGAGTTGGGATAACAACACCAGGGTGACAGATTTTATTTCAGAGACATCAGTCATCCATTTGTCTCTCTCAGGTATTTCTCAAGTGCCACAGTCCCACTGCAGGATCTGAGCACTGTTAGCACAACAGAAATTTGCAGTATTCTACATCCCACAGCTGGCAGGAACATTTGGGCACCAGCTGGTGACCACAGGTCTGGCATGGAGTGTGCTAGGGATGCTCTGCTGGAATTAGAGTAGCTAATTGGCTTTTTCCAGTAGTCTCCCACTGGTCCTGAGGGAGGAACTGGCTGGTAGAGAAGCCACTGTGGTGGTTGCTGTCAAAGTGAACCTTCTGGTTCTTCCCTTGTTGCACATCTCCAGTATGTTCTGAATTTGTCTTGTGAATTTATGCTGCCGACAAAGTGATTAAATCCCAGGAAGAAGAGGAACATACCCTGTAACTTCTGCAGCAGCAAGGGTTTCAGATTCTCTTCTCAAGCTACATGACCACAGAAAGTAAAGTGCAAACAGGCCAGGGGAAATTAATTATTTCAGCCAAGTGACACTGAAGAGGCAAAACTAACAGTGGCTGTGCAAAGGAACTCCAGTTATGTGCTTAGACTGGTGAGCAATCCCATCATCCTAGCTGCTAGGGAACAGCTGTGAACCCTAAGGGCACCTCCATCTGGCATAACTCTAAATAAATTAATAAAGATCTTAGAAATAAATCCATGTCAATCCTTTTAATTTATAGAGCACTGCTAAGTATATATCATGCTTCACAAAGCATGGGGAAAGGAAAATAAATGCCCTGAGGGTTGATGTGAAGGGGCAGACACCTATCATAAGAAAAGGAGAGAAAACACCTGCACCTTGGCCATGTGGCAAATGGCATCGGATCCTGGTACCAGGGAAAGAGGATGGCTGGGTTTTGGTATGCAGAACTACACCCTGGAACTCCCTGCACAATTCCAGTCCATGCTGGGGGTGTGTTGGGAGGAGGTGGCTGAAAAGCAAAGTGTGGGCTAAGGGCATCACCACGTCCAGCTGTCTGGAATCCAGGCGACCTGGTGTGGTCATGCCCTTGTCCCCCCACCTTGTACCTCAGGGCTGGACCAGGAGCTGCACACCTTGGTTCACACCCAGACCACACTCAGGGATGCTACCAGCACCTGTGCCCCTCTGGTGTGACATAAGGAGAAGCTGTGACTGAAGCCCTTCCCGCAGTGGCAGCATGTGAAAGGTTTCTCCCCCCGTGGGTGAGGGCAGAGTTGTCACTCAAGCAGGTCCCACCCTTGGCTCACTGCTGCCCCAAAGCATCCCTGTTCCTCTGAAGACTTTCTGGGACCAAGTCTCCAGGAGAACAGACATGTTCCCATCACAGCTTGGAGGAGAAGATGTCCTCATGAGAAGTCCCCACAGAGTTTTGCCGCCCCCAGCCCATCCCATTGGAGACCAGGCTTTCCTTAAACACCTCCAGCTGACTTCACCTCCTCCCTAGGCAGCCCATTCCAGTGCTTCATCACCCTTTCAGTGAAGAAGTCCACACCTCCCCTGATGCAGTTTGAGGCCATTTCCTCCAGTTTTGTCCTTTGTTACCTGGGAGCAAAGCCCAACCTCCACCCTGCTGCCCCCTCCTGTCAGGGAGTTGAGCAGACAGAAGGCCCCCTGAGCCTCCTTTTCTCCAGGCTGAGCCCCCCAGCTTCCGCAGCCACACCTCATCAGATCTGTGCTCCAGACCCTTCCCCATCTCGGTTCCCTTCCCTGGACATGCTCCAGCCCCTCAATGTCTATCTCACAGTGAAGGGCTCAGAACTGGACACAGGATCTGAGGTGTGGTTTCACCAGTGCCCAGTATAGGGCTGTCCTGCAGCCCCTCCTCTGCTACACAGCCTTCACAAGCTCTTTTGCACTGCCACATTTTTCTGTTGTCTCTCTTGTTCTCTGCATCTGACACTCCCTGGCATCTCTTTATATCACAATTGTCTCTGATTGGGCCCTCACAATTATTCATTCCACCTCCAGAAAGAAGAGAAGGCTCTAGGGAGACCTTACTATGGTCTTTCAGTATAAATAGTTTCCATCTTTCACATAGGCTCCCTTCAGGTATAGCACAGGGTAAATCTTACCTGTATTTTCGGAATTTGCCAATGTTTTAAGAACCTTCTGGCTTTTCAGGTGGGGCATTTTGGACTCATCCCATGGCTTCAGCGGGTTTTATTCTGCCAGCCAGCCCTGGCAAGACGATGGATGTCTGCCTGCATTTGAGTGCAATGCAGTTTCCTTGAGTACCCAGGTGGTGGCAGATTTGGAGTATGTTAAATCAGTCCTTTCAACCTGTTTTGCAATGGAACCAAACTTTTTCTACACGGGTTAAAGATGAAATTGTTACTCTCTCATTCCTCTGACACCATTTGAATGGTTTCCATTTAAAATGGGAAATCTCTACATTCAGGTATAATTAGTCTCTAAACCCAAGTTATCCTCTATGTTATTCATTTTCTTATTAAATTTCTGCTAAATCAAACTTTATTGACTAGACTTGTTGGGGAAGGGCTACTTATTATTTTGTTTATGTTTAAAGTAACTAATTAAGTACTGTTGAATTAAAGCATGTGTGGATTTAATTCCTGTGTCTGCTGTATGATGCAAACTATCCACTGTATTTATTAAGGTTTCCATAGAATTTACAGGGTTACCAGCACAGTAAATAACATGGGGCTTTCAGAGGTAGGGTGGGCACAGAGGATGCCTGTGATAGTTTGATTTCTTGCTTTCATACATGCCAAGGAATTTATTTGGTTTAGTTCTTTCTTCAAACCCAGCAACTAAGCTGTGACTGCTGTACAAATTTTCCTGGGTGACAAACATAGGGTAAATATTTTGAGTCTCTTTAGGTTTGTGCAGCATTCCCTGGTTTTTGCTCCTGTGGGCATCCCAGCAGCACCACTGGAGCTTATGTTGTGCTGATACTCACCACGGCTTCTGAAGTCTTTCCCTGAGTCTGTGCTTCCCGTGACAGATTCTCCATTCCTGTAAGACTAGTCTACCATCACAGAAAATGAAATCCTCTGCCTCTGAAAAAATCACTTCATTATCCTTCTTTGAAAAACATGAAAATCCTCAAAACCAGGGATCCTGCCAAAGTGCAAAATGCATCTACAATATACTACCAAACCAAAATGCATGGAGTAAAAATAAACATGGTAAATCAAGCTTTAATCCCAGTCTTAAGATCCCTTTGATGCTTTTCCAAATGTTTGTTCATCCCAATTTTTCAAGTGTTTTCAGGAAGCATTCATTCCAACAGCCATATTGTGTGTAACCATGCTTTGTGCAATTCCTTCATTTCCATGGGAATATGGTGGGCTCTCTTTTGTCCTGGAGATTCTGGAAAGCTGAAATTTGGGCCATATTCAAAGACAAAAGGCATCATGCAATAAATCGCGCCAGAACTTATTCTCTATGAAAGTGCTTCCCATTTGAGGGAATTGCATTAATGCTGCTCTAGACTGAAAGTTGTTTGTGATGGGAAACACCATTTCACTTTGTATTTGTACAATATCTAAGTGCAGCTGCCTCTGCCCAGTTCAAGGTCCCTAAGAAGCTGCTGTTGTATAAATAAAACACAGTTGTAGATCCCCACCTGCTGGGTTTTCTGCATATTGCTGCTACAATTAGACTGAACTACTGAATTTAGGAGGAAAAAGTCTGGCCATAACTCCTGCTTGTTAAGGAAAGAACTGTATATAATATTCAAGCTGGTGAATTTGTTATCCACTGGTGACCATGCCACTGAGATCTTGGGCACATTCCCAGTAGCTCTGCTGAGATGGAAAAGCAACCACTTTGGCCTGGGTTGGAAGGGACCTCAAAGATCATCGAGATCCTGCCAAAGGATCCTCATCAGGGAAGACAAGCTGCAACACAGCCGTGTCTCTATTCTCTGTTTAAGCTCTGTGTAAGTGAAGGGCAAATGTGCAGCTCCCTCCTTGCTGCTGTTTCAAGTTCTATCACTTGGCTCAATTTTGCAGAGAGATTAACAAGAGAAGGAGATGATGACTTAGAACCAAGGCTGTCTAAAGAAGCAGCAACATATCCACTCCCTAAGTTGGAATCACTGCACAACCAACTTGACAAAGTGCTTGCTCCACAATCGCCTCTTATTAAAACTCAATGAGGATTTGAAAGATAAACATCTCAAATTACCACAAAAGGTACCCCATATACAGCTACTGAATGGTCTGAACTGAAAAGGGAATATAGCTGGGAATGTGCTGAATTTATCTGGAACTGAGTGTCATATTACCATCCACAGTGCCTTATCCACAAGCTATGACAAAAGAACCAAGTGATTAAGCTGGAGAATTATTTCAGTATATGCAACCACGAGTCTGGTTTAATGGATTAGAACCTGGATCATGGGTTACTACCCTGCTAAAGCCTTTAGGACTTACAGGCCAGAGAAAACGGTTAGTGTGAGTTGGAATTGCAACTGTCACTGGAGTTATTTTTAAAAATTGGCATTAGCCTAGTAAAGTGCATTATAACATGCTGATTTATCCTTGGCATTTTCTACTTTTCTATTTTATCTCTTCCTTTTCTCCTTCATGAGGAAAAAACGTAGGTGAATAATTGCTTTGGATCCCAACATTTAACCTCATTTGTGTTTTTATCTCACTTTTGCGTGTGTTGAGAACCTAACTTCTTTCAAGAGCTGTGGATTCAGGCAAAACTTGCCTTTTCTCCCAGCAGAGTACCAGAAAATCCCATCTCCCAGAGTGGAGATGTCTTCCCCATCACCATGAATGAATGATCATTTTCAGCCCTAAAAATTTTACACTGATGAACCTTTGTAACTTTTAGAATATAATTAATGTCTTATATGCAACCACATCACAAAAACCACAATGTAACTTAGCTGAAATAATTATCCTTGTCTTATATGATTAAGAAATCAGGATCCAATCCAGATTAACAAGGCTAAAAACCTTTAAGGACTGCTGAGCCACCAGTCACATCAATCTTTAAATTTATGGACACACCTCAGTGTCATCCAGGATTAATATTTCACATTGGCTTTTTCCAGCGTTATCTTGCCATAATAAATTGATTAAGGTGTAATATGGGGCTATGTTAGTTATTTTTTAAATTATTCTGTTGACCTCCACACACCTATCAGCTGCAGAAACTTCCACTCACAACAGAAACACCTCAATTACCTGCCTGAGTGCATAATTTCTTCAGATGCACTTTAATCAGCAAACTTTTTCAAAATTCTCTCCTGCTGTCAGCTTAGTAACAACTTCATGAGTTTTAGTTTTCTCTCATGAGAGGAAAATGCTTCTGAAGACTGACAGGTTAAAAGCAAAATTGGGCAAATTAGTGCCAGTTTTACAGATCTGGAATTCCAGCCACTTCTCAAAAAATTGTCCTCAATTTCCTGTATTTTCAGATCATTATTTCTTATACTTGTACCATTCCATTGTTATTATTATTCAAAGAGAAGAAAATGGAGCTAGAACATCTCCAGATTTGTGATCAGCAGAGAAAGGGAAAACCCAGACAAAAGCTGCCAGGAACAACAGTTCTGGCTGGTCTCAGACTCCCAGGGGCCACCTCTATGTAATATTTTAAGAAGGACAAAAACTCACCAAAGATTAATTTCCAACAGGAGTGAAATGTTTTAATAATGAACACTATAAACCCAACTGAAATACAAACTTCAACCATTGATTTCACAAGGAAATTCTGCTTTATGCAGAATGACATTAAACATCAAAAAAGTTATGAACAGTACCCCCGAGTTTCCAGGATTCCAAAATGCTCAACTGATGGAAATTACAGCTCAAAGATACCACCACAAGATCACACTGAAGGAATGTCCTTTAAGGCCTCTTCATTTGGTTTAAATTAATATCCTGATGAATTAAGACTAATCCAAAATCCCACACAGTAGAAACAAGTGTGTGATTTTCAGAGTTTGTAGTCTCACAGCAGAAGTGACATACCTGGCCCCACAGTTTTAGCTTTAGGACAGAATGTGACATTATCAACAAGAAGACTTGTTAAGAGAACCAGTGTTTCCCATCCCTAAAATCTAAACCTTATTTTGTTAATGACTAGGAGTGCATCCTTTTAACAAGGTAGCATAAAAACCACAACTACAAACCACAAAACCAACCATGCACAAACACAGCATCAGTTCAAGAGACAAGACCTTCTGGCAAAGGTACAAGCCCAAAGGTTTTTTTTATACCAGTTCAAGGATAAAGGAGCTTTTTTTTTACACTTTTGAAGCTTAAAGGTTCTGAGACTACCACAAGTCTGTCACTGATGGAATAAGGTAGACCAGACCAACACGTCTTAAAACTCTGCACTTTCCAACCCTGACAGACCCAATGTTAGAATCCTATAAGGGGAAAAAAAAATTTGTTTCTTCTGCTGTTTTCACAAGATGATGCACCTGAGCCTCTCAGTGTTAATTATTTACCCCATTCCTACCTCTAATTAATACGTAACAGCCAAAACCACATAATGATCCAAACAGGATATGACAAAGTAAACCCAGGCTCAACTGAGTTCACCTTTGAACAAGGGCCCTATAAACCAATTTGGCTTTTCCTCATGAACTCTTGGTAAGCAAGGTAGACCTGAACGGCAGTATTTTGTTGAGGGCTTTTTGGTTTGTGTTTTCAATTAGGGTTTTTTGGGGTAGTGGTGGAGGGGTTGTTTGTTTTACACAAAAAGCAGAAAGTACTTTTTTCTATTTTGAGCAGGAGTACTGACCTGAGAATCAGCTAAGTCAAGGACACCTAATTTAAAGAATTCCTAAAGGAAGGAAGTTTTTGCAAACAGATGCTGGGAACAGGGGTGCTGTTAAACTGAACATCTTTACATAAGCATCTTGCTTCCCTCTATATAAATCAGACTTAATAGGAGATACTTAAATCATCCCTGAGGACTTTATCATTAGTTTCAACTCATTAGGAGAGGTGCAATTGCCCAAGTACATGCTGAAAGACATACCAGGTAAAAAATACACTCAAGTTGGATGAATTATCTTGATTATGAATGTTGCACTTCAGTGCATCCCAGTGATAAAGATCTCTTGAGCTGCCTCAACAAAGGTCATCCCTGGCCAAAATCCCTGCAGGCTCCAGGACAGGG